ACCTATGGCAAGTATTAAACACTGGAAGCACACAATTGGTGTTCATTTAAATTTTCTAATTTGATGTCAGGAGAGGGACTGGCCAAGCCAGGGGAAAGAAGCTAGAGGAGAAGTTATGATTGTGTGTATAAAGGTTTACACTGGATAATTATAGAATTGTAATTGTTCTTGCAAGGTAAAGGTTCCCCCCGCACAAACTTGCTAGTCATTTCTGGCTCTAGCGGGCAGTGTGCTCATCTCCATTACAAAGCCGAAGAGCCAGCGTTGTCCGAAGACATCTCCGTGGTCATGTGGCCGGCATGACTAAACACCCAAGGCGCACGGAACACTGTTACCTTCCCGCCAAAGGGGTCCCTATTTTTCTACTTGCATTTTTACGTGCTTTCAAACTGTTAGGTAGGCAGATGGGCCAAGTAACGGGAGCTCACTCCATTACGTAGGATTTGAACCGCTGAACTGCCGATCTTTCTGATTGACAAGCTCAGCATCTTAGCCTCTAAGCCAGCGCGTCTCTTTACTTGTTGTTGTAATAGCATATTAAACTTTATAGGGCTTTTTTTCCTGCTGTACACTTATCTTTTCAAAATTTGCTATGTTTTTTTATTATGTGTGTACTTTTGCATTTTTTTTGTTTTTTTCTTCTTTTTCTGTTGTTATTTGGAAAGCAATACAATTCTATTAAAAACGCCCTGCTTCCTAATGCAGAAGAAAAATGCACACCTACACATACACAAACCTTTAAAGCATCCCAAAGGTGTTTTTTTTTCACCAAAAGGCAACTGGGACTTTGTTTTTCCTTGAAGTCGTTTTGTTTCTTATCCAAGAAGTTTCAGTCAGAACGGAAGAAGCTTCCTGGATGAGAAGTGAAATATCTTCAAGAAAAACCCAGAAAGTCCAGTTGCCCTTTGGAAAAAAAAAAAGCACCTTTGGGACAATATGACCTGGATAACTAAGAATCTCCATAGACAGACCTTAAAAGCAATTTAAGGTCCCTTCAAAGCCCTTAAAGCCCTTCGGAGGCTAAATGATCCAAGCCCTTCTATTTATACATCTGTAACTTGCCACAAATCTCCAGCCATTCATGAAATGAGGAAAATATACAGGAGTTGCATTCTCAGCCCCATTTCAACTCTGATTTAGCCCAGAGTGTTTTTCCTCGTACCGAGGAGATGGGCACAGTCTTGATGCCCTTCTTGTAACCCAAGATGCCCTCGATGCAGAGGAGCAGAAGCAGCTGAGCAATTGACACCCTTCTTCTTCATTTCACCGAGTCTGCTGTATTCGGTGAGGGCAAGGCACTCAGTAGCCCATGCAACATTCATATCAACTGCAGCCTTCCTGCATCATCTCTAAGTTTAGCATCCTGGAGATAAACCATAGCTTATTGGAGGCAAGCGAATAAATGGGACCATTTAAAGCTACAGCAAAAAGAATGTTTAAAGACGAAAGTTTGGACAAAAGCCGGAACTGAAAAATCTGAGGAGAAAGTTCTTTCGCCTTCTGCTTCTCTAATAATCTTTGCTTCAGTTTACTAAATATAGAATTCCCTTGCTGTTCTGGCCAAGGTTGAATGCCACTGCCCAAAGCCTTGCCACCAGGTAGCAGAAAGCACATAGTGTAGTTAAATAAGTTGCCCAAGATTGAAAGCTCAGAGGATCACACCAACAGAGGGAGAGAAGAAACAAACCGGAAATGAAAACAAGGCCCAAGGCATACATCAGGATTTTAAAAGCTCAATGGCTGATATTTTGATAACCAAAGGGATAGGCCACCAAGAATTTTAAAAAAAAAATCATAATGGTTGGTTGCAGCGGTCAAGACTCCTCATCTTGGAAATGTATTACTAACTTGGTGAATTTCCTGCTGCTTTTCCACCCCGTTGAATTAGAGGGATAGAATCAAGATTTCATGAAGTGTTAATACCGCTTTATAATGCCTTGGTAAGACCACACTTGGAATACAGTTTTGGTCACCGTGATATAAAAAAAGATATTGTGACCCTACAAAGAGTGTAGAGAAGAGCAACGAAGATTATTAGGGGACTGGAGGCTAAAATATACAAAGAACAGTTGCTGGAGTTGGGTATGTCTAGTTTAATGAAAAGAAGGACTAGGGGTGACATGATAGCAGTGTCCCAGTATCTCAGGGGTTGCCCCAAAGAAGAGGGAGTCAAGCTATTCTCCAAAGCCCCTGAAGGAAGGACAAGAAGCAATGGATGGAAACTAACCAAGCAGAGAAGCAACCTAGAAACTAAGGAGAAATGTCCTGACAGTAAGAACAATCAACCAGTGGAATAGCTTGTCTTCAGATGTTCTGTGTGCTCCATCATTGGATGCTTTTAAGGAGGGATTGGACAATCATTTTCTGGAATGGTATACGGTCTCCTGTTTAAGCAGGGGGTTGGACTAGAAGGTCTCTTCCAACTCTGTTATTCTCTATTCTATACAATTTCAATCATTCTAGGAAGTCTGCTTCTTCCTTTTTTCCCGCACTCTCCATCACTAGATTTCTAATTCAGACCATCAGTGTGCTTTACTGTTAGAAACAGAGAGGAGGAGGAGATGGTCTGTGATTCCAGGATAATTCAGACCCTTCCAAATTTCTGCATTCAGAGACAAGAAGGCAGCTAACTTGTCCAGCTGTTCCTACAACAATTGCTATCCTCAGATTAGCTATCAACTGATACTTCTTCCTTCCATTCAACCTATTCCAGTCAAAGCCAGAAGTTTCCTGATTATCATCACTGGTTCTTTGGAGGAAAAAAACCCAACATTTTCAAGAACAGGATTTCCCTTCCTCAAATTCAGCTGAATCACTCTGATTCAAAGCTAGGAGCATGCTCGAATTGCAAATGTGTCTGTTAGCTAAAAAGTAACATCACTATGCACTATGCATTTTGGCACTAGACTATACGTCATTATAGTGACACATAAAGACGCTGCTTCCTTCTGGAAATGAACTACCATTATATTTTGTAGTGAGACTATATTCTGTAATGTCACAACCCTTTTTTTTTCTGACTAGACTAAGCCTACTGAAAAGTAACTAGCGCTTTTCCAGCCACTCCCGTATCAACACTGATCACAAGATTAAATAATGTTCCTTATTAATCATTTCAGGCATCCATTAACTGAACAGGAAGTAGCTTTTGGAAAAGGGATTAATTTTTCTGGACTGAATTTCCTTCCTTACATAAAACTGTACATCCTACACACTAAAAAGACGAAGAACATACTTTTCTTTTCCTTTCTAGTTTCTTTGTATATCCTTTGGAAGAATATTGCAAGCTCACGTGATGAAGAAAGGGGAAAAAAAATGAGATCACCACAGGCCCATCAATATATTTTAAATATACTTAAATTATATATTTAAATATATATTTATATTATAAATATATATTTATTCCTTGCAATCTACAACAAAGAACCAGAGTTGCTGGGAATTGGGCAGCATGTGAATTTAACAAATTCACATGTTGCCCAATTAATATAAAAGGTCCCATATGTAGAATATAGAGTATTTCCTTTCCCTTCTTAAGGGGGAAAAAATGGATGTATCAACTCTAATTCTTCTATATCGATTACTATGTAACCACATCTCAAGACAATTTACAAACAAAAATAAATGCTATTAAAACACATTGAGAAATTACAGTGATAGATAGATGATAGATAGATAGATAGATAGATAGATAGATAGATAGATAGATAGATAGATAGATAGATAGATAGATGATGGATGCAGTATATATGAAAAACAAAAAGAATAAAAGGCAATGAAAACACATTTATCAATAATATTTACCTTCAAAAAGTTCACACAGGGAAGATTCTAAAAGATGTCACAACAGGTACTTCACACATTTAAGCAGGAAAAGTATTTCAGAAAACAGAAGCAACCAATGAAAACCCTTCGCTGTTGGTAAACCACAGAGTGACAGTCTGTCAGTTGTGGCAAACTTAGCAGGACCTTCTGTGGTGGGAACACCAAGTAGCTTTGCCACCACAAGTCTGGACTTCTGCAATGTGTGGACGCTACATCGATTAAGAGAATACAGTGGCCACACAACTGATTATCATCACCTAGAAAGGCTCTTCATTGTGCAGCTTTACTTCAGGATCACCTCACCCACCTTGATGGCACCCATTCTGTGAGTGCCTCTGAAAAGGCATCGCTAAAAATCCTACTTCTGCATGAAATCAGCACAAACCAAAATACACGTTTTCTCACAGGTCTGTATACCGTTCCTATCTTAGGGCAGTCTATATTTTACTGTATTAATTTATTAGTTTCTCTATGGTGATAATAGATGAGGAAGACGGGGGGGGGGGGGGGAGCTGGAATTGTTGAACCAGGCTACTAAACATGTTTGCTAAAAAGAACACATTAATAGTGCTAAAAGACCATTCAAGATAAACGAGACTATTCGTTTTTCTGTCCTGCCGTTTTTTAAAAAACTTTCCCGATCTTTACTAAATTGAACCAGGGTAAAGAAAAATAGCTTTCCTATTAAGCCACCTGTTCAAACATGAGTTTTAAAAAGCTAGTGTCAGAAACACCAAGAAAACAGAAAATACATGTAACACACAAAAAATGAAAACATTTGAGGGTCCCGAATTTAATGAGTGTGGTTGATAGAGTCCTTCCCTAACTACCAAGAGACAGACCTGCTAAGAACAGTAAATGATGCGGAACAACATAAGAAATCCATGTGCCACAGCCTTGATTTTCCCCTGTGCATGTACAGAAAACGAGGTCAGGGCGTGACCATCTGGATTCCAATATCTAGGCACTGCTATCCAAATTAACTCCAAGATTTGTCTTAAATCTGTCATCTGCTTTCTTGGGGAATGCAAACGCTCCAAAATGCCAAGTGAAGGTTTTGGTGTGTTTTTTTTCTTCTTCCACTTCTAATTCATCTGCCCGTATCAGGTGAAATAGCACAGCTATGCATTTAAATAGGAATATGTGACATAAAACTAACATATGTTCATACCAACCTCATCGCTTTCTTCTACTTCAATGCCACCATCTTTGTCATCATCCATCTGTTTATGAATTGTTCGGAGAGCTTCCAAACTGTATTTATCCTCCTCAGTAAAACAGGGTGGGCTCAGTAAATGGCAAAAATCTAAAAAGATAAAACAGAAAAATCTTTACTCTTTTATGCTTTCAAGCTCAGAATGATGGAAGCAAAACTCTACTACAGAGATATTCGGCATATTATTTTTAATAGTCTAATTATCTCCATTACGCTATCCCAGGTAGCCCAAGTATCCTAAATGCTTAACTCCCAACAGAACCTGTGTCAAAATTGGACTGGAAGGGAAAGGTTTTCATTCTACCCTGGAAGATCAGGAGAGGGCAATTTCACAATTCAAAATATTCAGCAGCAATGCATCCTGACAGGATTCATATACGTGGTCACTTTTGGCCTGAGTCTTTTGATTTTATTCTATCCCTCCACATTCAATATAATGTTAAAAACTGACCAAAAGAAAAAGAAAAAAAAGTGTGAGGTGCATTCAAATCCATGTCTAGTCAAGTCAATATTCACATCCCTTCCTCTTCTACGCTGAGACTTGGTCAAACAAATCCCAGCACTGATTTTACTTCTGGGTAATAGATTTCATCAGAAGTCTGCTGAAGCTCTAGAACAGAGGTGTCAAACTCAAGGCCTGTGGGGCTGGATTCGGCCCACAGGGTGCTTAGATTGGACCTGAAGGGCCGGCCTGGAAACAGCAAAGGACCAGCCTGTGGTGCCTCTGCCAGTGAAAATGGAGCTCGAGGTGGGGGGTTCACATGCACCCCGGTTGTGATGACCTGGGGCATGGCACAAAGGCAACACAGTCACATAAGTAAGAAAAGTCCCTTTAATACTTCCAACTTTGCCCCCAATGTCCAGTTACCTTTGGCTGGAGAAAAAACTGGAGAGAAAACTCTAGTTATTGAAGATATTGAAGAGTACTGGGCCTAAGACAGAACCTTATGGCACCCCAGTGCTTTTACTTATGTTCTATGTAAGCCACTGACAGTCCTTTTGGTCATGGCCAGGTAGAGATGAGTTTCAGAAATACACTGCTCAAAAAAATAAAGGGAACCCTTAAACAACACAATGTAGCTCCAAGTCAATCACACTTCTGTGAAATCAAACTGTCCACTTAGGTAGCAACACTGATTGACAATCAATTTCACATGCTGTTGTGCAAATGGAATAGACAACAGGTGGAAAGCATAGGCAGTTAGCAAGACACCCCCAATAAAGGAGTGGTTCTGCGGGTGGTGACCACAGACCACTTCTCAGTTCCTATGCTCTCTGGCTGATGGTTTGGTCACTTTTGAATGCTGGCGGTGCTTTCACTCTAGTGGTAGCATGAGACGTTGTCTACAACCCACACAAGTGGCTCAGGTAGTGCAGCTCATCCAGGATAGCACATCAATGCTAGCTGTGGCAAGAAGGTTTGCTGTGTCTGTCAGCGTAGTGTCCAGAGCATGGAGGTGCTACCAGGAGACAGGCTAGAACATCAGGAGATGTGAAGGAGGCTGTAGGAAGGCAACAACCCAGCATCAGGACCGCTACCTCCGTCTTTGTGCGAGGAGGGACAGGAGGAGCATTGCCAGAGCCCTGCAAAATGACCTCCAGCAGGCCACAACTGTGCATGTGGCTGCTCAAAAGGTCAGAAACAGACTCCATGAGGGTGGTATGAGGGCCCGACGTCCACAGGTGGGGGTTGTGCTTACAGCCCAACACCATGCAGGACATTTGGCATTTGCCAGAGAACACCAAGATTGGCAAAGTCGCCACTGGCGCCCTGTGATCTTCACAGATGAAAGCAGGTTCACACTGAGCACATGTGACAGACGTGACAGGTTCTGAAGACACCTTGGAGAACATTCTGCTGCCTGCAGCATGACCGGTTTGGCAGTGGGTCAGTAATGGTGTGGGGTAGCATTTCTTTAGGGAGTTGCACAGCTCCCCATGTGCTTGCCAGAGGTAGCCTGACTGCCATTAGGTACTGAGATGAGATCCTCAGACCCCTTCTGAGACCATATGCTGGTGTGGTTGGCCCTAGGTTCGTCCTAATGCACGACAATGCCTAGACCTCATGTGGCTGGAGTGTGTCAGCAGTTCCTGCAAGACGAAGGCATCGATGCTATGGACTGGCCCGCCTGTTCCCCAGACCTGAATCCAATTGAGCACATCTGGGATATCATGTCTCGCTCCATCCAACAATGCCACATTGCACCACAGACTGTCCAGGAGTTGGGGGATGCTTTAGTCCAGGTGTGGGAGGAGATCCCTCAGGAGACCATCCACCACCTCATCAGGAGCATTCCCAGGCATTGTAGGGAGGTCATCCAGGCACATGGAGGCCACACACACTACTGAGCCTCATTTGACTTGTTTTAAGGACATTACATCAAAGTTGGATCAGCCTGTAGTGTTTTCTTCCACTTTAATTTTGAGTGTAACTCCAAATCCAGACCTCCATGGGTTGCTAGATTTGATTTCCATTGATAATTTTTGTGCGATTTTGTTGTCAGCACATTCAACTATGTAATGAACCAAGTATTCAATAAGAATATTTCATTCATTCAGATCTAGGATGTCTTACTTTTGTGTTCCCTTTATTTTTTTGAGCAGTGTATATAGTATGAAGACATGTAAAACAAGGGGGGGGCGGGGGGGACAAGGAAATTTTACATCCTTCTTGATGCCTTTCTAGCATTGCAAACAATTTTGGCTTCACTACATTTGCCCACTGATTCACAGAATGCCTTTTAGTGCCTTTGAATATATTGCTTTCTCTTTTGACAATTTCATGCAGTGCATTAATTGCAATATTCTCGCTCTTCCCTTCTTCTCAACTCATTGACTTTTCCTTCATAGATTTGTTTTGTATAAGCTGACCTTCATTCCATTTGTCTCCAAATGACCCAACCACCTAAATGTGCTTCTTTTCGGCTGAGTATTCAATTCACATCCATTCACATCCATTCATCAGTGACTCATCCCCTTTTTTGGGCCAGCTTGCTATCAGCACAACCAAAGCCAATTTTGTTCCAATCACATTAACACTATTCTTTGCAAGTTAGCCTGTCTCATTTATCTAGTGAACCAACATTTTCTCTTTTCTAAAAGTCATTCACCATTTGCAAGACATGAGAGGCATCTAATACTCTCACACATTGTTGTGTTTAATTTTGAATGTTTTGTACTAAGAAACCTCCCTCTTCCCACCTATGTATTTGGGGGGACAGTGTAACTTTAAGATGAAGATCACTTTTAGGAATCAACAAACTTAAGTCCTTGAGTAAAGGTTATCAGGTGAATTGTACCAAAAATGAATTAATTTACATTCTATTCCATATAATCACACCCCTTTCAAAGCCCCTGATTCATTTTCTATTTCTAAATAGTGCTAGCACAGGGTATCAACATCCTGTCTGTGATTTTAGAGGGCAGATTTAAAAATAAAAAAACCTTATGCAACACGTGGATTCAGTATCACTATTTTTTCCGCTGCACCTTTCAAACAGAGTCACTCAAAAAGTCAGGCCAATGACTCAGATTTCACTGCTTTCTTAAGGAGCAAAGATTCCAAGATACCTGTGGGGGTTAGCTAAATTTTGTTCGTTGGCTCTCAAAGCGGCACAAACTGTTATTTTCTACCTTAGGACAGAGATGGATAAAAAAGAAACTGAAAGCTCCGTCTAAAAGTTAAAACTGTATGGAAGTAAAAATAATTTTTGGATATGTCAGTTATTCTACTTCTTCAAGAAAGACAACATGGAGGCATGTTCGTTTGAACTCAAAACCAAACTACCGTTTCATATCTTGCAAAACTTCATCAGCTCCTAAATTTTACTTGATAAGGGCAAACATGAACACATTGTTTTTTATTTGATTTTTATTGTTTTGTAACTAATTTACGGAACTCAAAAGTGCTTGTTCCATTTTCAAATACTCTCAACAGCTTTGGACTGGACTTCCATAACTCCCATAGACATTCACTCACTAATTAGTCCATAGCTCAAAGGTTCATCTTCTACCGTGTTTCCCTGAAAATAAGACCCTGTCTTATATTTTTTGCCACCCAAAAAGGCACCAGGTCTTATTTTCAGGGGATGTAACTCATTGACTAACCTCACTTGCACACATCGCTCCTGGCCTCCTTTTTGCTGTCAGAGGCCTTCGGGAATTTGTTCTTCTGTGGCCAGCAAGGCTTTCCTGGAGGAAAGGATCTATCCAGAGCTTTGTTATCAGCTACAGAGGCCTTCATGAAAGCCTTGCCAACCTTGCTGGCTGGAGAAGAAATGGGCCGGCAAGGCAGGTGACGGGGTGTGCAAGGCCTGGCTGCAACTGTCCAAAGGTAAGTAAGGGCAGCTCCACCCCACCATCCTCACCCTAGCTTAATTTTTATCTGTGCACTCTGGAGTAGGCGGGATCTTAATTAGGGCTTCTTTTGAGGGCAGGGCTTATATTGGGCGCATGTGTAAAAATCAAGCTAGGACTTACTTTCAGGGTAGGTCCTTCTGCATTTTAAATACATATAGGTTGTCCTCAAATTATAGAAGCCTTTTCCATACATGTTTACACACACACACACACACAAAAAAAACATGCATTATGTTCTTGGTTGCCGTTCAAAGTTCTGTTACTCAGAAACTTTCAAATATTTGCTTTCATTAGCTTATCTGTCATAATCAATAACATTGGATTTTTTCTTCTTTTGAACTTGTTGGTTTCTTCAATTTCACTAGCCAGCCAACTCAACCAAGTGACTCTGGGAGGCCTACAATTCTAAAATTCTAAAACAATTTAAAAGACATCAAACCAAAAAAAAATACCCACAAAATAAATAAGTGTAAACAGCTGCTGATAGTTTATATTATAAATGATTTGGAAGAGGGAATGCAAAAGGCATGGTAAGGAAATACAAAGCAACCTACAAATAATATGGGGAATAGTAATACAAATAATATGAAGAAATGAAGAAAACATTCTTAAGTAAAATCTAGGGTCTAGCTTTATCTTGACTTTAAAAAAAAACTAACAAAACTAAAATTGTAGAATAGGAAAAATTTTCTAGCCTTATCATTGTTAACAAGTACTTGACAGCAAGTGCA